ATTTTGCACTGAATGCTTTTTTCCATTGTTGGAATGCATAGGGTTACTTCCTTATATGAACTCTTTCATGTCATTATAATCACTGGTGGTGGACAAATTTGCTGCATTGCTTACATGCATACAGATTCTCCCCATTGTGGTTTCTTTCATGTGTTCATCAAGTACAAAATTAACTGAATGTTTTCCCAAGTTGCTTACCTACATAGGGTTTCTTCCCATTGTGAAATCTTTAATGCATTTACAAGCTATGGGCTTGGCTGGTAGATTTCCCACACAGCTTACATACTTAAGTTTTTTCTCTATGTGGGATCTTCTAGGTCTAGAAAATGTGGATTATCAGCAGAGATTTTAAGTTATGACTTATATAAGTTTTCTCCCATGTGAATTATTTTATGGACAACATTACAATACTGATTGAAAGATTTTCCACATTATGCACCTATATAGGTGTTCTCCCTACTGAGAGTTCTATCATGTTTTTTATAACATGTTTGTGTACTGAACATGTTTCTAAATGTCTTGCATGATAAGATTTCTCCCTAATTTAATTTCATTCTTGTTTCTGACAGTGAATGTGTCTGCCTTTGCATTTGTGATGGTATATCTTAACATTAGGATGGCTACATGGATACAGGCCATGAATACAAGCTGAATACAAGCATAATTTGAATATGAATGTATAGACACTTCTTGGTAAACTGATATGAGTTACAGATTCTGATGGGAAAAATTGTCATGAGATAATTTGATGTCATCCATCAAAACAAGACATGGGCGGTTCAAAACATGGAAAAAATGATATAGCATACTTAAATTTTCATTAAAAAGTGCAACATCTTTATTAAGACTACAGACAGATAAAATATTTATGTGTAATTTGTAAAACAAGACAAAAATATTTTAGCATGATTCTGTTTCAGGTTGTCTTCAAAAATGTATGAATATATATTGACAGAAATTATTTTATAATATTTTGGCAGATCTCCTCTACATGACTAATTTTGAAATTATTTTCAGAATAGTCCCTTACATATGTATGATTTCACTTAACTAGGATTACTTTCACACTTTTGACAATAGCCATGTATACTGAGTGCTTTCCCACATTGCATACATAACCTCGGGACATAGTATGACATCACTCAGAAGGTTAGCAGCTGTCAGCTGAACGTCTACCAAATCTTTCTTACATACAGTTACTCCCCAGTGTGAGAGGAATCTTATGTTTGCCAAAGGGAAACACTGCAGCAAATCTTTGCCATACTGCCTACATATATAGGATATCTTCCTTGTGTGCAAAATTTCCCTATGGCATTTTTGTGTGCTACATATGATGTACCATTGTTCAAATGCATAGAATTACTACACCGAGGTAGTTCTTAAATGTAGTGGCAATCTCAATGGTATGGAAAGTCTTCCTATATTCCTTATGTTCATGGGATTTTTTTCCCAGTGTGGGATATTTGGTTTTGTATAGGGAGAATGTATAAACAAATCCATTTACTCATTTCTCATATAGATAGGGAATTTTTATACAGAGAATTATTTTCTATACAAGAAAGCTACTATTATAGCTAAAATACATCACAAATTGCTTACTTCAATGGAAAGGGTTTATTTTCAGCACTTCTGCATACTGTCTGTTTTGGCATAATTGTTGTACCATAGATGTTCTATCCAGTGTGAGTTCTTTCATGAATAATAAGGTGACTGCTTTGACAGAAAGATTTCCCCGATTGCTCACATACAAAGGGTTTCTCCCCAATGTGAGTTCTATCATGAGATTTACCGTCAGAGGATGTACTGAATGCTTTCCCACATTTGTTGCATACATAGGGTTTATCCCCTGTGTGAATTCTTTCATGTTTAATAAGGTCAATATTTCGACTGAAAGATTTACCACATTGCTTACATACAAAGGGTGTCTCCCCAGAGTGAATACTGTCATGTACTTTACAAGTAGAGGATGTACTGAATGCTTTCCCACATTTGTTGCATACATAAGGCTTATCCCCTGTGTGAATTCTTTCATGTTTAATAAGGTTAGACTTTTGATTGAAAGATTTCCCACATGGCTTACATACAAAGGGTTTTTCCCCAGTGTGAATTCTATCATGTGCTTTACAAGCAGATGCGTGATTGAATGCTTTCCCACATTTGTTGCATACATAAGGTTTATCCCCTGTGTGAATTCTTTCATGTCTAATAAGGATAGACTTTTGATTGAATGCTTTCCCACATTTGTTGCATACATAAGGTTTATCCCCTGTGTGAATTCTTTCATGTCTAATAAGGATAGACTTTTGATTGAATGCTTTCCCACATTTGTTGCATACATAAGGTTTATCCCCTGTGTGAATTCTTTCATGTCTAATAAGGATAGACTTTTGATTGAATGCTTTCCCACATTTGTTGCATGCAAAGCGTTTCTCCCCAGTGTGAATTATTTCATGTGTAATAAGGTCACGATTTTGACTGAAAGATTTCCCACATTGCTTGCATACAAAGGGTTTCTCCCCAGTGTGAATTCTATCATGTACTTCACAAGCAGAGGCTGTACTGAATGCTTTCCCAGATTTGTTGCATGCAAAGGATTTCTCCCCAGTGTGAATGTTTTTATTACTTTGACAGCCACTGAGTTTATTGAATGCTATCCCACATTGCTTGCATTCATATGGTTGCTTTCCAGTGTGAAGTTTCTTATGATTTTAAAGATATTACTGTGAGATAATGCTTTTGCACATTTTTCAGTTATATGATCTTTCTCTATACCATATTTTCTAACAGGTTTTTCAATATTGGATGAAGAAATAGAATTATTCTCATAGTGTTTTTGTACATACGAGTTACCTGAATCGTGGTTTGTCTTGGGGGTTTGAACACTGTTAGGTGTTGTGTGGGCTTTGACACTTTTGTTACCTGCAAAAATTTTCTGCCCACCGTGTGTTTGTTCACTAATATCAGATCTCTCCTCCTCATATTGCCCATATTCACAGGGTCTCTCTACAGTCTTCCTCATTTCATGCTTCCAAAAGGACTGGAAATCACTGCAGGTCTCTACATCTTCATTACATTTATATTGCTGCTCTTCAATTCTCAAATAATTGCCTTCATCACATCTGTGAAGAAATACAAAAAAATATATCAATCACAATGGAAAAGGCTCCACATTAGCAACAATTTCTATGATGACAAATTTAGTTTTATTCCTGCTAAGTAATTCTGATTGGTTAACTGACTCACTGCCCCACAGGACTTCTTTCAAAATACTATTCATTCTAAAAATTTTTACTGGTTTTTTTTTTTTTTTTGGTACCAGGGATTGAACTCACAACTGCATGCTTACAAGGCAGGCACTTATGCCCCTGAGATAAAATCCCTGATCCATTTAGGCAATTTAAATTGTTATGTGATTCTAATACTTAATATCATTTTAGGAGACTGGTACAAATGAATAGCAAACATTGATCATTTTTTTTTAGCTCTTTGTGTCTTAATCTCCCCTTTGTCTATTTAGCCTGATCCTCTTTCTCATCAACAGAACATAAGGATTTCTGGTCATATATTCTCCCTCTTTACTTTCACTTCTCAAATAAGTTTTTAATTTCTCACTTAAGAAAAAACCTGAGTTGTGGCCAGTGATTTACCACAGCAGCATAAGCACCAGCCTGGCAAGCATAAGATTATGAGTTCATTTCTCTGTACCAAACAGAGAGAGAGAGAGAGAGAGAGAGAGAGAGAGAGAGAGAGAGAGAGAAACCTGTGATATTTCCATTTCTATGTCTGAATTACTTCACTTAAGGTTCAATACTTCTTGTTTCTTGGGAAATGGTATCATGGTTCCCTTTATAGCTTTTTTTTTACAACATGGAGTTAAACACAGGTCATAGAATGAACTACATTTGCTGATCTATTATTTGTTTTGTTGAGAAAGATTTTTATTGACCATCAACTTGTCCAAGCTGAACTTCAAGTTATCATCCTGCGATTCAGCTTCCCCAGCTGCTTGGATTGCAGGAATGCACCACCGTGATGAACTGACTTCATATTTTCTTCACCTTGGCATCCAGTGATGGGCATCTGGGCTCTTCTCAATGCTTAGCTACTGTGAGTTGATTCTTGTATTGGATATTGTAAATGCCCTTTCATGTGCTTTAACAAACACACTCTCATGCATCACTAACATTTGATGATTTTAATGTATTTGACAATATACTGAGAGAATCATTACACATAATGACACAGTACGACGCACTCAACAGTCAGGAGGTAGAGGCAGGAGGATTTCCCTGAGGTTCAGGCCATTATGGGCTTCACAGTAAGTTCAAAGTCAACCTGAACTACAGTATAAAATCATGGCTCAAAAGATTTAAAAAAGGATATCATTGTGGATGTACATGTGAACCAATATGAAATATGTTGTTTTAATTTTCAGACCACTGAATATTTATTACCATGCTTGTATTTTATGTGTCCATCAACAATGTATGAGGAATATTAAACATGAACAGCTCAATATTCTATAGGATATTTTCAGAGTACTTATTGTAACAGTAGAATTCATTTTCATTTTGAATGCTGATGCTATGTGAAAATAATTCTAGATCATGAAAGTCTCAGTATTCACATGTATACATAAATGGTATTTTGAAGATGGGTTTTTATCAACTTTCACAATTTGTTCATTTCCTACATATCAGAATACAATATTTAATTTATTATCATACATTTATATGATGTTGATCATGAAGGCAATTTTTGAACTGATACATTAGATAGTGTTATTTACTACATAGCATTAGAATTACCTCTGATTCTTATATTTCAATATGTTTCCATGGATTCCCAGATAATACAAAGTAAAATCAAGTATATCTCTTGGTATTTTTCTGAGGTTAAATAAACTATAACATGATTTCATTTCTTCAATTCCTTTGTTGTAATGTTTACGCTCACACACTGACAATTAAGTAATGTCCCCTTTCTCTTATGTGTTTCAGTCACCTTATACTACCTGAGCAATTTTTGTCCTCTTCCTTAATTTGCTGATTATTCCATATTCTTCCTGTAATATGGACATAGAAATAAAATACAATTACTATAACTGTGCATTAAAATATCACTGATTTGATTTACACTCACAGTATAGTATAATCAGACGAGATACTCAAGCAAATGTTATTATTATCAAATATATTAAACTGTATCAATGAGCAATAATTAATGCTGTTAGTATAAACAAACATGTCATCCTTACTTGTTGCAGTAATATTCATATATGTTTCCCACATCACTCTTCTGTAGAGCTTCTTTTGGGATGGAGTCAGCAAGTCCCACTCTGCTGGGGTGAACTTCACAGCTACATCCTCAAAGGTCACTGTCTCCTAAATAATGACAAGGGTCCTGAAGTTCAGTCACACATGACCTGATATATCTCAGTTCCTGTCATAAGTAGTCTACCTGAAATTCATTCCTTCAAGTATTAACTGCATGTCATGGTCATCAAAACTCAAGTACATTCAAATATAGTCACCCAGTAACACTGTTGCTAGACTATGACACACTGCCAAAGCAATCACAGAACTGTAGCATGGCTTATCCTGCAGGGCCACCAATAGTGTAGTTTTTCACTTACTTTAAAGCAGAGCTCAAAGAGTGAGCATGCAAACCACCATTCACAAAATATTGGTTATTCATAACACTGAGTTTGTCTTTCTTATCAATAGCATTATGGTCTTGAATCTAAATTTATAGATAAATATTTAGTTGAATATGAAAAGATATTTCTGAATGATTAAAATTTAATGACAGAAAAGTTTTATTTGACCATTCTATAGACAAGGAAATAAGGGAAAATATAGTTATAAATCTATAGCTCAGGGATACTAAATTATCTTCTTGTACTTATATACTGGAAATTCCACTAGGGTGCAAAGGAAGATAATGTGGGGAAAAACATATATGAAATGCTTGAAATAGAGTGAAAATTGAGAAACAGAAAAGTAACTGATCACTAAATACTGATGGAAGAGTTCAGTACAGTGGAGTAGTATATGCTTGTACTCTCAGAACTTGAAATCATGATGTATGAGAGTTGCCAGAAATTTCATGTTTGCCATGCATACAGTGTCCAGCCTGGGCTATGTAATAAGGACAGTTCAAACTACAAAGTGAGGCCATTCATCAAACTCCTGTACCAAATGAAAATTAAAATTAATTCACAGTCATTGACAAATCACAACTTTGCACCCAGGATATATCTCAATGATAAAAGCACCTGTGTGACATTTGCAAGGGCCTGAGTATACTTTCCAGTACCAAAAAGAGAATTCAAATGCACCTTTGATTAGTTCCAACAACTGTAGATGTAAGTTAGAGAAAAAAAGCCCTACAAACATTGAATATTTGTGTGCAAGGAAACATTTTGCATAATAAACAGGAAAACATTTGACATTCAACATTCATATCAGTGGACAAAGGGATCTCAGAAAAGGAAAACAAACTTCAATTCATCCACATGGAAGTAGAATATTATGTCACAATTCAGCTGGCATTGTGCTCCTAGGCAAGAGAGCACAATATGTTTCATTTACATCCAGAAAGAAACAGATATGTCCCTAGAAATCTGGCCTGCACACTACCGTTGCCTATGTGCATTGGTGAATTATTGAAATGGGAAAGAGAAACATGAATTACTGTGCAATTTATACTGAAAAACACTCAGTGCAAAACTCTTCTGAAGAAAATCAAGCAGCCATGAAAATTAGAAGAATTTGAAATCTATGAAAATTGGAATTAAACAAGAAAACATTTATTGGGAACACAATACAAAGATTTTACATAGAGTTATGATCAATGATTACAAATCTAAAAGTAAACAAAATTTACGTGGCCCAGCAGAAATAATGAATAGAAAAGAAAGTCTAACTCACATTTGTGAAAATAACCAAACAATATTGAAGTGTGGAAGAAAAAATATTTAGATTTATTCTTAAATTCCACAAACTCCTTTTCTATGGAGTTTATGAAAATCTACAAACAAGTGAATTCTTTCTAATGTATACAAAATATTTTGTTCTATGATTACTTGAAATACACGTGATTCTTTCAAGTGAAATTACAGACTCAGAAACTGTGACAAGAGAATAAATGAGGGGGACTGAGAAAATGGTGGCTTTCTAGGGGATCGGGCGGAGAGTCTCTCCAGAGAAATCATATTAGAAGCTAGAATATGACAATATGGAGAGGGCCAGACAAATGGGTAACAATTCTTATTAACCAAGACAGCACAGCTGGAGGATTTAAAGTCGTGCTGAGGCTGTGAAGGCTAATAACGGGAGGCTGCAAATCCCGCGCCTTTAAATCAGCGAACTGACCCGTGGACTCAACAGGAAAAGCTGTGTTGGCTTTTGGTCACTGCTGGAAACTGAGACCTGGGACCCTGAGAAGCAGCCAGGATAGCCCCGCTGCACCAGAGGAGATTGTAAAAGGCCCTGGAGCTCCGAAGCCGAATGCTGTGCAGTTTTCTGATGGTTCCTCGCTGTGCTGGGAGCGCGGGGAGGGCGGGCAGTGTGGTGTGCGGTGGACCCAGGAGGAGGACCTGCACTGAACCCTGGTGAGTACTGGGGACCCCACGGCTGCTGGGGTTGGCCAGAGAACATCTTGGAACTGGGCAGTGCCCACAACCACTGGGACATCATTAACACAGAGAGTCTGGCGGAAGACATCTTATAGTTGGGCAGAACCTACGGCTCGGAGACATAACCAAGTCCCCTGTAGGGAGGACTGGTGGAAGACATATTGAAATTGGGCAGAGCCTGATGCCATGCTGGCTTCAGCATCATACAGAGAACTAGTGGTAGACATCTTGGATTTGGGCAGACCTGCTCTCCTGGCGCTCCTGTCACAGAGAGGTCTGGAAGAGAACAGCTGGGATTTGGGCAGAAACCTGTGCCATAGTGACATTAGTCAGCTGCTTCTGGTACAGGGAAAACTGGCAGGAGCTACTGGTGCTAAACTAAGCCTCTGCTTGTGGCCCAATAAGCAGATACAAATAGTCACAACTCAGTGACATCCAGAAAGTACAGCCTAATTTACGGATTGACTGGCACAGAGGCTGGAGGCTAGCCTGTACTGCCCCTGCATCCCAGTCTACCCCAGATAACAGCAAATTGGGGAGGACAGCAAAAACTCAAGCCAGCACGCTTCTGAAAGGCTCTAAGGAATACAGAGAGGGCCAGGGAGCCCAAGGACACTCCAGTCTGAAAGAAACCAGAAACATGACAAGAGATAAAAATTTAAAAGATCTCCAGCTGCCCAACATTAGAAAATAAGCCCAGGAGAAGTAAACACTGAAGAGAACAAGCACAGTAACCATCCAATACTTGACACAGCATCAGCCGGAATTAAAAAATACCTTCATGACCTCATAGATGAATTTAAAGCTGTACTTCTGATCCAAGTGAGGCAAGATATAAAGAGATTAATTAAAGAAATGACAACCCCCCCTAAGAGAACACAGATGGAAGAACTGAGGAAATCAGAAAAGAAAGAGAAACTTCTGAATAAGAATTTAAACATATTAGAATACATGAAACAGATCCAAAGAAATTACCTTGAAACTAAAAACACCATTGAACACTGGCAAAATGCCTTGACAGAAACTAAAGGCAGCCTTCAGAAACTTGAAGACAGATTTATGGCATATGATCATGAAAGAAAAAGCCTCTTAAAAATAACAAGGAGCCAGAAAGAAACAATTCAAAAACTAGAAGATGACAAAAAGATACATAACTTAAAAATAAAGAATGTGAATGAGGAAGCAGGAGCAACCAAAAATGAAATACAAAGAAAATTCACAGATATATTAAAGCAAAAATTCCCATGTATAGCAAAAAGAAATGATATGCAGATAAAAGAGGCATACAAAACACCAGCTACCTACAACCAAAACAGATCTACGCCTAGACATATAATAATCAAGATTCCAGAAATCCACCAAAAGAACAGAACATTAAAAGCAGCCAGAGAAAAGATGCAGATTACCTACAATGGGAAAATTATCAAAATAACAGCAGACTTATCAACACAAACTCTTAAGTCAAGAAGGGAGTGGGGAGAAATATTCCAAGTCCTGAAAGAAAATAATATGCAATGAAAGCTCGTATGCCCATCAAAACTCTCTCTCAAAATTAATGGAGAAATAAGATGCTTCCAAGATAAAGAGGAACTTTGGAAATTTGTTGCCACCAATCCAACCCTACAGAGAGTGCTGAAGGACATTACAGAGAAAGAGAGGAAGGGATACCAGAATTGCAGCAACAGCAGCAGAGTGGCCTCAATGAATGGGGCAGACAGTGGAATGAGGGAATAAAGTGGACAAATTATAGCAGAAAAGTGGAGTAGCAGATATAAGTAAGAGACGGTAAGCAATAGTATTTAGTACAGACAGCTCTGAAACACTATTTTAAAAAGGCAGAGGTCATTGTTAATGGTGTGTAAGGATTTAAAAGACACAGTAGTCTTATCGCCATATTTAGTTTGAATTTAATTTGTTCTGGTCTGTCCACTCATGTCAGATTTGAGGGCACAGACATCTTGACCTAAAAATAGCAGGTTATATTATGGTAACTATCCTTACTTTCCTATTAACTTAAACTGAAATCCTGTATTACTTACATTGTCTTACTATGACTGATCTTAATTGAATCCAATTCATAAGACCATGGGTTTGCCTTGGCTGATTTTATTTGAATTTGGTATGCTTGTTAGTATCAACCCTAAAAGTAGAGGCAACTACTCTGAAGAGGACAAGATGTAAAGGATATCCATACTGGTATTAACTATTAGCAGCCCTCAAATCCTACAATGCTTTCAAAGTTAAGTTTTTATAAAAATAGGTAATACTATGTTTAACTATAATAAGCCAATGTTGTGGACAATTCTATTGAAAATAACAAGAGAAAACATAGCAACTACAGAAGATCATTTATATTGTGGTCTTATATGTCTTATCCATTGCATGTTTTTTCTAGGAAATTGTTTTGCTGTCTTGGTACAACTTGGTTTTCCCTATAATACAGAGAGGATAGATACATATGTAGAAATTCACACATGAATTTTTTTAATTATTTATGGGAACAGATTATATAATGCAAGATGTAATGAACAAATACTCTGAGGAAGAGATGCTAAGAAACCCAAGGCTAATCTTGTAGCATTATGATATAAATTCTAGCAATACTATTGTTCACTGATTAGAATGACATTGGACTGGTTTCTTGAGTTCAATTTCAGCATATGTAGAGATGGGAACAACTATCACAATGAGAATGAGAGATACGATGGTGGTTATTATTGTCTTCCCTAATGTTAGATCTTGAAG